AAAAAATTCTAAAAAAAAAAAATCTTGTGGGACAGGTATATTATTAATCCTCTATAATAGATCAGATGATGAGTGTTAAGTTCTCATTGCACTGCTATTCAAGCAGTTGACTACTAACTTCAAGTCAACAGTCTTCTCCTAGAATGACATGAAGGAGATCTTTGCTTATCTAGAATTTGACAGGATATTTTTGTTGAAGTAACCAAATAGCAAAGATAGTTATAATGTGAGTACCTACTATGCATGATTGATAGAGGATTGTCTTACTTGGCATTTATTAATGCTCATGCTATATTAAAATTAATTATTAAAAATTAAGAATTCTAATTCTATTAGAATTAAGAGTACTTCTGTCATTCATATGATGTGGGTTTTGCATTAGTATCCCATCAGCCAACTGAATAAAAGATTGCTTGCTATATTTTGAAGTCAAGTGAAATTTTCTGGGATAATTGGCCCTGATTTAAGTGTTGATAATAAATAAAAACCTTTTAATTTAGAGATAAAAATCTTTTTTTTTTTTTTTTAAGATTTTATTTATTTGACAGAGAGAGGGATCACAAGTAGAGAGAGAGGAGGAAGCAGGCTCCCCGATGTGGGACTCGATCCCAGGACCCTGAGATCATGACCTGAGCTGAAGGCAGAGGCTTAACCCACTGAGCCACCCAGGCAGCCCCTAGAGATAAAAATCTTAAAGCTTAGCCTCATCACATCCAAATTAATAGTCTAATCATATGCATATGTTATTTAAAAATTAAAAAATTCTAATTACAAAGCAATTATTTAACCCAGTATTCCCAAACTGTGTTTCAGAAGGGAGATAACTGTGTTCTATCAATACAAGGCTCATTATCAAGTATGTTTGAGATTTGGATATTTAGCATATATTTATTTAAAGGCTCTGAAAAATAGCAAATTTAGTTAATCTTGGAATATTCTTGGTGGAAAAACAAATTTACACTGGGCACAAAAGGGAATGGCCAGGAATTTGTTCATCTTTCTCTTTGTTGACTAGAGTAAAAGGGGGGCACATCTTGTCCCTGTCTGTAATTATACTTCTAGAAAGCACAAGTATTCCATGCTTTACAAATATACTACAAAAATCTCTGAGAGGTGCTTGGGTAGCTCAGTCGGTTAAGTGTCTGCCTTTGGCTCAGGTCATGATCTCGGGGTCTTGGGATGGAGCTCAGCAGGAAGCCTGCTTCTCCCTCTCTTGCTCCCCCTGCCAAATAAATAAAATCTTTAAAAAAAATTTATTTGACAGAGATAACAAGTAGGCAGAAAGGCAGGGGGCGGGGGGAAGCATGCTCCCTGCCGAGCAGAGAGTCTGACTCAGGGCTTGATCCCAGGACCCTGAGATCATGACCTGAGCCGAAGGCAGAGGCTTAATCCACTGAGTCACCCAGGCACCCCCCTGCCAAATAAATTAATAAAATCTTTAAAAAAAATTCTTAGACCATCCCTGCCAGAAAGTTTAAGAACTTTTCTGAATCTAGAATACCAAACATATCTTAGCACCTAATACACACAATTAGCTTGCTTTCCTGAAATGTCATTCTTCCTAGAATTGAATTTTGTGAAATTTGTGCTTCAGTTTGACCTTTTGAATGTTTTCTATTATTCAAAAAGAAATAATTTATCAAATGATACAGAATTTACAGTTCTTAAGGGATAATGTTTAGAATGTCATGTTAGGGAAACATTATTAATATTTTGCATAAATGTACCTGGCTTTTCAGACTTCAATTCTGAATGGTTGCATAGCTTGTATAAACTTAGTAGAATATAAAAAGAAAAACATATGCTTTTTATGTCCCAATTTGATTAGGCTATGATGACTACATCAAGATAGGCATTAACCCTAAGAAGCTTGTAATGGGTGTTCCCTGGTATGGTTATGATTATACCTGTCTAAATCTACTGGAGGTAAGTAAGGATTATTTCTTATATAATTTTTTTCTTCCTATTCTTTAAAGCCTGTTTTAAGTTTGAGACTAAAAAGTAGTTTATTTTTTAATTATTTAATCCCATGGAAGTTTCTGAGTATTATATATTTCATTTCAGTAGTGAAATTTAACTTTTATACTGTATAGTCCATCTGTTTAGAGTATACATTTTATTTCTAATATAGTTTTTCTGATTTGGCTCCTAAGATTTGCTTACATGTATAACATGAACATTTTTGTATTTTTAGGATCGTGTTTGTACCATTCCAAAAGTCCCTTCCTGGAGGGATTCTTGTGGTATTACTTCAGGACATCAGGTGCCCTATAAAGTAATTATGAAGCAAGTAAATAGTTCTGTTTCTGGAAGCCACTGGGATAAAGATCAGCAGGCTTCTTACTATAATTACAAAGTAAGATTTTTCACAAATTATGAACCTTTATTCTATCCATTTTATTTTAGGGTACAATATACAGATTACTGTTTATATGAGTAAACTTGTCTAATCAGGACTTTACTTTGCTGGTGAGCAGTTCAAGTTATGGTAATAATGGAACTGCTCTGCATGGGCCACTTGTCTTACCACAAACAGGATTGCCTTAATAGTTGATAATTATCAACTGTGGCTTTGGACCAAAATAGGTTACTAGGTCTGTCAAAGTAGCCTAAGGATTCTGATGAGACTATTTTATAGGGAGGCATGATACTGAGACTAAGAAATGCATTAGTGGAAAATGGTATAAACAGAAACTTAAAGAAATAGAGTACATGACCAGAGCAATTCTGTCAGGTAGTGTTTGATAAATAGGAACTGCTATACCAAAGAGGCAAAGAAAAGTTACATTTTTCATAAGTGAGACTTTTCCAGACTTCAAAAATCTAATTACAAACCATCTTCAAATTTACTTTAGATTTTGTCACTGTGAAAGGAGCCCTAAAATGTTATGATGTAAGTTGATTTCAATATGAACTTACATTCTTTATTATTCTGGTACCCATTTATGAAAAAAACTGTAAACATTTATATTTAATATTTTAACTGGTATACAGACATGCACATACATATCAATTACACAGAAAGCTTTGATGTAGAGCTTTCTAACTCTTGAAAATTACATACCTACTCATTAACTAGGCTTATAATTTATATAACTAATTAAGATATTTATTAAATTAGGGTATATTATACTCCTGTCTTTGCCAAACAGTGTAATAGTTTATACTCTTTTTGTAGTCCCTTATTTTTACCTTGATGAAAAAAACACCTTCTTTAAAGTTTTAGAATTCAGGAAACATTTTGATAAGCCTTTGAAGGCCATTCATTTAATGGCGTTTTAGACAACAATCTGGTTATAAAACTATTCTTTTATTGTGAAATTCCATAGCAAGCAAAATCAAATTTCTTACTGTGACTGAAGAGAATCATTCTGCTTTTTTATGCTCTTTCATCATGCACTCAATATTCTTGAAAGCATATATATGCCATGATCATGCATATGTTAATCTTACATTTAACTCAGTTTTTCATCCTTATTTTGAGGTATATGAAATTTCTTAAAAGTATCAAAAAGGCTCAAAGTACTTGCCATAATAATGGCAAAATTCAGAGATCTAGGACTTTGGGTTTTCCTCTAAATCTGCAAAAATAAGTTCTACAGTTGCCTTTTAATAGTGAATCATAATTTAAAATTTTAAAGAATGTGACATATGCTTGTAGTGAATGACTCTACTTAAATACCCCACAGTTTATTCATTTACCAAGTGCCTAATGTCCTTTAATCATCTTAGGGGACTACTCTAATTCCAGTGGTGCTACCATAAACAACCTATTACTGGTATCCACTGAGAACTGCCTTTGAAAGTGTCCCAGATGTTATATAAAAATCAATAAATTATTTTAAATCACAGGCCATTCTATTTTTTTAGTTCTTTTCTTCTTTTCCTCAACCTTTTTGCCTAGTTCTGTTCCTTTCCTCTTTTATCCCTTATCCAATAAGCATACCTACCTTCTAAGAGAGACGGTGTTAGTACTAGATAGAGGCAGTTGATGCTGGGGAGGACTTTACAGGCTAGTTTATGGTTCTTAATTCTGTAAGACCTATTAAAGGAGATATTTTCCCCACCCATTACCTTTTGATTTGGCAAATTCGTCATAAACAAAATCATCCCCTGAGCTCCTAACTAGGAAAATTTCCAGGAACTGTAGATAATACAAAAAAAAAAAAAAAATGCATAAGCTGGTTTTAGAGGACCATAGCAGTGATCCTCCTTAACTATGTATATCAGAATTACCTAATGGGATAGTAAAACACAAAACAAAGACATGTCCTAGGTTCCAGCCCTAGAATATTTTGATTAAGTAGGTTTCATGTGGGTCCCAGGAATTTGTATTTTGAAAAGCTCCATGAGTGACTCAGATATACATCTTGGTTGCTAACCATCAGATCAGACCAAGGAAGAAATCTCAGGGCATGAAGGAACGAGAGCACGAGAAGGACTTTAAATATAGTACAGATTATATTACGAAGCTCATTTGTGTAATCTCTGCTGTTGTGAAAGTACCACAATCATATCTAGAAAGTATCACATACAGAACCATGAAAGCATAATGTACTGTGCCCTAAAATTTCTATTTACTTCATTGTATCCTTTTTGAATCATTGGATTTAATATTGTACTGACCAGTTTAATTTATTCTTATAGGATTCTTCTGGCCATTTTCATCAAGTGTGGTATGATGACCCTCAGAGCATTTCTTTAAAGGCGGCATACATACAAAAGCATGGCTTACGAGGCATTGGCATGTGGCACGCAAATTGTCTTGACTATTCTGGAGATGCTGTAGCCAAACAGCAAACTGAAGAAATGTGGAAAGTCTTAAAACCAAAGCTGTGACAGATAAACATATTCTGTCAAACTATTAAGATTTAGAAAAAATGATCAGTTTAAATCAGGTTCTTGAAGAGAATACAAATGTCATGTCACATATTTTAGTTATTCTACTTAAAAGCAGATAAAGAAATGCTTTGATTGTTTAAAAACAAAGGTAAGAAGTCAACTTACTATATTACTCTTTTATGTTTAATACTATAATTAGGAAAAACTGTTTTCAGGATTTTATTATGCTAATTTAAAAAATACGTATAATTGGAAGTGGAAATTATTTGCTCAGAATAAAATTTTTAAAAACCTAGACTTTGAGAAGCACTTTGCTCTATACTTTTTGTTCAATAAATTTAAAACCTTCAATTTAGTATCTTTTAGGTTCATCAAGCTGATGCACTTAAACTAGACTCATTTAATTAAGTCTCCAAAAGGGGGAAATAAGGATTAAAATAAGTAATATTTTGAATTAGTAGCATTTTTCACTGAAACTATTTTTATGAAGTTATAGCAGAAACTTTATTTACCCTTCTAGTTATTATTCCTTCATTTATGAACATCTATAATTTATTTCCTAGCTAGTTTATATTGGCATTTTACTTTTAATTTTCTAAGGACATTGGTTTCTCAATTATTTTCTCTACACAATTAAAATTTTTCTAAATGTACAGAGGTCTCTGTTCTCTTCTTCAGGGTAATTAAGAATATTGTGTTACACTTATATTAGTTCCTATAAACACATTAAAAATTTGCTTCCTTGAATTCTGGTCTTACATAAATCTGCCTTCCCTGTATAGTCTCCCTGCCTTCAAATTGGAATAAATGATGATCCAGTCATCTGTTATTGAGACTATTTCATTTTCTATTTACTCAGTTATCACAGAGAAAAACCAACCATTTTCCATAGTATTAGCTGAATTACTACTGTCTGTATTTCTAAAATTTTAAATTCTTAGATACTAATCTGTATCATAGCCTGGATGTAAGTTCAATATCCCTATTTTATATTCCCAGATTGCTTTTAATTAAAATACAATGAACACACTGTCTCTATTTAAAAGAGAGAATTATATAGTACTATAAAATATGTAATACTTAAAAGCTTCAAAAATAACCAAATAGGCACCATTTTGCTTTTTTGCATCTAATATTTCCTGAAACACTTTGTAAAACCTGCATGAAAAGTGAAAATATATAAAACTTATGATTTATATAAATTACTGTGCCAAGGAGAACAATGGTTAAATTTTTTGACAAGTTATAAATTAACATACCTAATTGAGATTGTAAAGATGTGTTAATTTTCTTCTGTGCCAGTTCAGCTTTCAATGTGCGTAAATCTGAGACTGCTTGCTTTCTCATCTATAAAAAGAATCACCTTTCAAAAATGAACTTTCATCTTCCCCTTCTAAATTTGAGAGAGGCCTAACTGAACACTGCTAGTGAAAAGAATCTAGACCTGCACTATTCAGTACAGTAGCTACCTGCCACGTGTAGCAACTTATATTACATAAAATTTAATAATCCATTCCTTAGTTATACAACAAGCTACCCTTCGAAGTGCTCAATATCCTTATGTGGCTACGGGTTGCTGTATTAGTGCAGATACAGAACATTTCCATCATTGCAGAAAGTTCTAATTGGACAGTTCTGATTCTAGAACATTATTCATGTCCTAGATCTATTTTTGATAAAGAAGTGAACTTAGAATTTTCATATAATTATATATATATATGAAAATAATCAGAGCATGAGATAATAACTCCCGGAACAGGTAAAGAAATAAAAATTAAATGGCATTCAGTGGTTTGTCAGACTTATTTACGGATGACTCTTAATATATGAAAATTACTTTTGAAGTATTAAGACTCTACACTGATTCAGAAGGTCCTTTTCCTTTAATTCTTAGTGAAATTCTACTAATTTTACTTTGGCCTTGTTATAACCTTTACACAGGGTTTAATTCTTGCATTTTTCTCACTCATGCTCTTGGTTGTTAAGATAATGATTTTAAGACAATCCTCATTATCCTCACACTAAATTAAATTTTGATGCCCGAGGGACGCCTGGGTGGCTCAGTGGGTTAAGCCTCTGCCTTAGGCTCAGGTCATGATCTCAGGGTCCTGGGATCGAGCCCCGCATCGGGTTCTCTGCTCGGTGGGGAGCCTGCTTCTCCCTCTCTCTCTGCCTGCCTCTCTGCCTACTTGTGATCTCTCTGTCAAATAGATAAATAAAATCTTTAAAAAAAATTTTTTTTTGATGCCCGAAATTAAAACACTAAAACAGTTTATTTCAAGATAAATTTTATCTGATTAGGAAAAATGCAAATTACCTTAACTTCTATTATAAGTTTCATTTTGTCAGTATCTAGTTTTCTCTTAAGTTGGTCAATTGCATGCTGTACTTCAGTGATCTGGATGATGAGGTAATTCTGCGTGAAATACATAAAGACACCATTATTTAGTAAAACATCTATTTGTATTGCCTTATAAACTATGAAGTGATAATTTCAAAAAAGCAAATCATAACCTATTGCATAAAATAAACTCATTGCTTAGAGTAAATTTCTTATGTCTTAAGGACCACATTCTCTTCTGTTCTACCACCTTTATTCATGTTTTATAAAAATAAGTAGATATCTGTACAAATTGCCATTAAATTAGCACCACAAAGGCAAGAACTATTACTACAAAAGGAATATACTAGGTTTAAGATACTAGGCTTTTGAAATTGTCATTATACTTTCTTAGTTGAATCAGATTAGTATTTCTTTAAAATACTTAATAACGGGATACTATATTTTATATAAGAAGACTTTCTGGTTACTTTTGTTTAGAAAAGTTTTGAAGTATGGTAGTCCACAAAAACTATTAAAAATTTTAAGCTGCCATTGTGAAAAAAAAAAATTGATAAAACAAAAAATCAGCTATGCAAAATAAAAAGTATCTGCTAAAATGGACAAACCATTACTTGAGCCTATTTGAGTTTTACATTAAGTTTATCTAAAATGATAAACTTCTACTCATAGAAACAACAGATTCCGGGGGTGGGTTGGTAGAGAATAAGGGGAAATGGGTGAAGTTCTGAGGATATAATGCCCAGCACGATAACTATAGTTAACAATACTGTATTGCAGGGGCGCCTGGGTGGCTCAGTGGGTTAAAGCCTCTGCCGTCGTCTCAGGTCATGATCTCAGGGTCCTGGGATCGAGCCCTACATCGGGCTTTCTGCTCAGCAGGCAGTCTGCTTCCTCCCTCTCTCTCTGCCTGCCTGCCTACTTGTGATCTCTGTTAAATAAATAAAATCTTAAAAATAAAAAACCAATACTGTATTGTATATTTGAAAGTTTCTTAGAGAATAGACCTTAAAAGCTCTCATCACAGGAAAAATAGTTTATAATTAAACTTACTGTGTGAATCATTTTATAATATATACATATATCACTTTATTCTAATGTTATATGCCAATTATATCTCAATAAGACTGGGAAAAAATAAAATAGCAAACTTTTACTATTTCATCATGTCTAAAGTCAAATCCATACTCTTAATCATAATTAACATACAATCTTTTTTGGTCAACCAACAAAAATTGATAAATGGCTTTGAATTTATTTGTTTATATACATAATAACTCAATTAAAAAGTGAACTTCAGGGGGCGCCTGTGTGGCTCAGTGGGTTAAGCCTCTGCCTTCAGCTCAGGTCATGATCTCAGGGTCCTGGGATCGAGCCCCATATCGGGCTCTCTGCTCCTCAGGGAGCCTGCTTCCTCCTCTCTCTCTCTCTGCCTACTTGTGATTTCTCTCTGTCAAATAAATAAATAAAATCTTTAAAAAAAAAGTGAACTTCATGTCTCTGATCTATCAAGGTTCAATACTATTTCAGGAAAAAAAATCAAAATATAATTCAATAATTTTCTTAGAATACCAATACCTTTATATTCTGTGGGTGTTATTAACTAGTCCCCAGCTAAAGAAAAGGAATGTAGTGCAGACTTTTGACCCCTGCCATATTGCATCAAGTATTCATCTCTTTCCCATAGATTCAAAGAAAGTGACCCTATCCCCAGGTACTGAAGTAGATACTAAGTAGTCTAAATTAACACCGAGTACACACCGAGTACTCCCTGATAACTACAATTAATCCAGGTTCAACATGGTTGAACCCCCACTGGGCTAAAGGAAAAGTTTTATATGTTCTTTATTGGGAGGCATATAGTTCTACTAGCTATCGGCAACTCTACTGGTACCATGAGGAAAAGCAGTCTTATAATGAAGCCAACACTGAAAATAATAGGGAAGAACTACTGGAAGCACCTAGTCCCTTTAAAGACATCATTAAGCTGCTGATGGTATTTTCTCAGCACCCATTACAGGAGATCATAAATTTTCTTCTTGTTGAAGCAAGGTTAAGTCAAGGTTTTGTTACCTGTAGCCCAAAGCATCCTACATATGATAATACTAACAATGATAAAGCACGTATTTTGAGTAGAATGTCTCTAACATAATATGAACACATTTAGTAATAAGTACCTTAGAGTCTGTGATGTTTGCCAAATTCTTTGGTCTCATCTTGATCTCCCTGGCTTCAAGTTGCATGAGCAGTTTTTTATAGTAAAGTTCCAAATCTTCTCTAAGTTTTGTTAAAACATCCTCTAGTGAGGCTGTGATTTTCTTTGTTTCCAAATATTTTTTCTTCCAACCATCACAGGCTATAAAAAAGCAGATTATAGTATAAGTCTGACTAAAGGATTAAACTTTTCCATCTGGAAAGGACCCTAGAGTTAATTTAAACCCTCTACTCCCCTAACCTTCTTCCCTCATATGCTGAGGAAATTAGAGCAAAGACTGAAATGTTTATTAGATAATAAAAGGATTTGCCTTACAAATATAGTCGTGATAAACACAGGAACCAAACGAAGTTCTTTAAATTTGTAATTACTTCTGAAAAATCTTCATTGAAAATACTACATTAAGCAAAATGTGTGTATTTATTTTCATCACTTTTTTCC